AAGTGAGCAACTGGTGCCCATCAGATGACCACTTCTGTAAAAACTTGTCTTGTTCCTCAGTTCCTGGTGTCTTAAGGGAGAATCTAAATAAGCAGGAACACCATAAATAGGTGTGCTGAAGCCTTTATTGCCACCCATGCTGGAGTGTGAAGTTCTGCTTTTAGTTATGCAGAAGTATACAACTGTCTTCTTAACATCAACCTTAGTGAAAATAAGATTCTAGCCTCAGAAAAACCACCAACCTGGGTCTATTAAGAAATGGATTCCATTAGCTAGGAGAAACCTAAGTATTGTTATAAGAAATGTGAATGATTAAAAAAATATTAATCAATATTGCAAAACAAGACTAACTTAAAAATCAGATAAAATAATCACTGAATCTAATCATTCAAATTGATATGATAACTTGTCCATTGTATTGTGAATTATTTACTCTTTGAAGCCCAAGTAGTTGATTATAAACATCCATCTTGGTCACCACCAATTGTGTAACACCTCATTCTATAATTATAGTCAAGCAATTCCCCTGTTGGCAGTAATATTCCAAATGTTGCCTAGCGGCTGCTCACGCCTGTAATCCTACTCAGGAGGCTGAGATCTGAGAATCATGGTTGAAGTCAGTCCAGGCAGGAAAGTCCATGAGACCCTTATCTCCAATTAACTATATAAAAAAAAAACAGATATGAAGCTATGGTTCATGTTAGAGCACTAGCCTTGAGCAAAAAAAGCTGAGAGACAATGCCTAGTCCCAGAGTTCAAGTACCAGGATCCACTTCTGTGCAAGACATACACATGCACATGTAAGACACATACACATGCACATGTGCGCGCGCACGCACACACACACATACCCCTTTTCCTCTATCAAGCTACACACAGCACACTAGGGCATATTTGTGCTATACTTTTTATTTTTTTGGTCGGTTGTGGGGGCTGAACTCTGGGCGTGGGTGTTATCCCTCAGCTCTTCAGCTCAAGGATAGCACCCTACCACTTGAGCCACACTGCCACTTCCAGCTTTTGGGCCTCTTGCGTGTGAGGCAAGCACTCTATCACTGAGCCAACTTCCCAGCCCCTCTCCTATACTTTTGACATACTAAACAAAATATATCCTATTTCTTTTTTTTGCTAGTTCCAGGGCTTGAACTTGACCTTGAACTTTGTTTTTTTTTTTGCTCAAAGCTGGTCCTCTATCACTTGAACCATGCTTCCAACCTAGCTTTATTGCTAGTTAACTGGCTCTCTCTTAGGTCTGTCTATAAAGGCTTTCTTTGGACCAACATCCTCAAATTTCAGCCTCCTAATAGGATTTCAGATGTGAGCTACTGGTGTCCCACTTACTATCACCTTTTTTAATTATTTTGGTTGGTGGTGGGGCTTGAACTCTGGGCCTGGGTGCTCTACCATTTTGAGCCACAATGCTACTTCTGGTTTTCTTTTTTTTTTTGGTCCGGTCGTGGGGCCTGAACTCTGGGCCTGGATGCTGTCCCTCAGCTCTTCAGCTCAAGGCTAGCGCTCTACCACTTGAGCCACAGCGCCACTTTTGGTTTCTTTTTTGCTTATGTGGTGCTGAGGAATCGAACCCAGGGCCTCATGCATGCAAGGCAAGCGCTCTACCACTAAGCCACCTTCCCAGCCCCTTCTTCTGGTTTTCTGGTTTTTTTTTTTTTGGTCCGGTTGTGGGGCCTGAGCACTGTTCCTTAGCTCTTCAGCTCAAGGCTAGTGCCCTACCACTTGAGCCACAGCACCACTTCCGGCATTTTTCTTTTTGCTTATGTGGTGCTGAGGAATCGAACCCAGGGCCTCATGCATGCAAGGCAAGCGCTCTACCACTGAGCCAACTTCCCAGCCCCTCTTCTGGTTTTCTGATGGTTAATTGGAAATGAAAGTTTCCCAGACTTTCCTGCCCTGATTGGCCTTGAACCGTGATCACTTATTTTTAACTTCATTCAATTAGCCTCACTTAAATGGCAGCAAAAATTAAAATTAAAGACTATGTGGAAGGCACTGCCAGTATGTTTGTTGGCATACCCAATGTACTTGTCTTCATCCTCAATCACTAGAGTGCCTGTGTGACTCCAGGGTGCTTCTTTATTTTTACCTCCCTGACCTTCATTTTCCCTTCTATTAAGTTAAACACATGCTGAAGGCCTGTCTTTGATTTGGTTACATTTAGATAAATTGATCTAAGGTCCACAGTCATTGGTTGGAACCCATGATCTTCCAATCCCCACAGACACCAAAATTCATGAACCCTACAGTGTCTTCCAGACAGGATGCAATATTCATACACAAAATACATCCATTCTTTCAGATATTTTAAATCATCCCTGGATTACTAACTACTTCATACAATGTAAATGCTATATAAACTCATGTAGGGGATTATAAACAAAAGTATAAATAAAACCAAATTAGTATTTACTCAGTACAGACACAATTTTTTCCCCAGTAGTTCTGATCCATGATTAGTTGAATCCAAGGAGAGAAAGGCTGAATACACACACACACACACACACACACACAACTTTATTTTGGGAAACTACTATGGCTTGCACACACAGCTTTGTACTTGCTAGGCAGGAAATTTACCACTTGAAGCACACTCCCAGTCTTTTTTATGCTATTTTTCAAGTAAGGTTACTCATGGGCATGCGTAAGCCAGACTGGGCCCTAATCTTCCTATTATGTTTCTTACATATCTAGGATGACTGGCAGTTGAGATGGACTCTGTTAGCTGGGGCTGACCTCACATCATGACCTTCCCAACAACTACTTGTTTTTTTTTTTTTTGTGCCACTACGAGGGCCTGAGCACTGTCTCTTAACTATTTTGCTCAAGGCTGATGCTTTACCACTTGAGTTATACCTCTACTTCCAGTTTTTTGCTGGCTAATTGAAGATAAAAGTTACAGAGTCAGTCCTGATGATCTCAGCTTCCTAAGTAGCTAGGATAACAGACATGAGCCACTAGTACCTGGCTTCTAACCACCATATTTGTGTACCTAGAATTTCAAACATGTACCACTATTCCTGGCCTCCAATTCTATTTTAAAATAGGTCAAAACACGGGAGGGGGAATGACAGAGGGATAATACTAATCATGATGCAATATACTCATAAAATGAAATGTTGAATTGAAATCCATTTGTACACTACTTAAATAAAAAGCTGAAAATAAGGGGCTGGGAAAGTGGCTCAGTGGTAGAGCGCTTGCCTTGCATGCCTGAGGCCCTGGGTTCAATTCCTCAGCACCACATAAGCAAAAAGAAAAAAGCCAAAAGTGGTGCTGTGGCTCAAGTGGTAGAGTGCTAGCCTTGAACTGAAGAGCTGAGGGACAGCGCCCATGCCCAGAGTTCAGGCCCCACGACTGGACCCAAAACAACAAAACAAAACAAAACAAAAAGCTGAAAATAAGAAAATTTATTATCAGATACTAAATTAAGTGTGCACATTTCTTAGAAGACTGTCTCAGATTGTAAAAGTTTAGTTTTTATAGCTCATTCAGATAAAATATAAAGACAAGGGTATAGATTCAACCATAAAAAATGCTAAAACACAATTAATATTTTGCATATAAAATGGTAGCTAAGTATGTTCAATCAAATATGCTCATTGTAAATAAATTCACGTACTGTAACTTCCTAAATTAAGTCTAATGCTTCAAAGCCTTATGATAATGTGGAAAATCTTATATTTGCTCACTTAGGCCACGCATCCATAACAAACCCACATCTGGATGCTTCTTTCCTACATGTCCACATTTGCAGAGCTGCTGTGAACAGACAAGGCCAACAACCCAGTACTTCATCATGCAATCTTAAATGATTTCACCCTCCAATGCTAAGCTATTTACTGTTCAGGCTGACTCTTCTATGAACCTGCAGTGACAATCAATGATAGAACATGTGTATATGGTGATTCTGAATAATGTTCTAGTTCACTGAGACTTTCTGCAGTAAAATCTCATTGGATTTATGTTTGCCAAGCATCTGATGGAACATCCCATACAAAAAAATTGTCCTGGGGCTGGGAAGGTGGCTCAGTGGTAGAGCGCTTGCCTTGCA